GCTTCAAGAAGCCATGAAGCGGCTCCTCCCACAAAACTATCATTGAATATAATAAAACGCCTCGTTCTGGTGGCTCCCAGACTCCATCCCTGCCAGGTTAGTTTCTTGTATATCACTCCGAACTGACCTGCAACAGGCTCTTGGCAGGGGCTTCGAGCCGATTGGTGCCGGCCATAAGTATTAACGGGCGTGAGCTAGTTTTGAGTGAACAAATTGTTTGGAATGAATAGTTTGGCAGGTTTGATGCTTCATTTCCCATGAACGCTGCAGTTGTCTGTCAAGCTTGACTGACTTTCTGGATAGATTCCTCAGTGAGGATGTTGACAAGTTACCTGCTTCTTGCACCTCACTCAAGAGGCCAGGTTCTGGCTTTGATCTCCATATAACATCTGATTTTTCTATCTACGCTGTGATTGTGAAAAAGTAAAGCGAAGTAAGGAAGAAAGGAAGGGATAAGGTTGGATAACATGGATAAGGTTGAGGGGGGAACTAAGGTAGAGAGAAGCGAGTGGGGATAGAAAACGGGGAGCGAACTGGAAGAGTGGAGGTAGGAGGAATGAAGGAAGTAGGAGGGGGAAGGAAGGAGGGATAAGAAGGAGTAGGGAGAGTAGACAAGACTGTTATTCTGTTATACTATCTATGATGTTATACTATACTGATATTCTAAGATGTTCTGATGTTTGCTGCCACCACCTGTCATTGAAACTAAATATAAATTCGACTTAAACAATGCGACAGGAGTACTGTTTAATTTATAACTTTCTAAATAAATTCCTAAGTAAACCCGACTGGTTAGGTGAGGTGAGGTGACGCGCGAGCTCCTCTCATCAAGCCACACCTTCCCTCACTCACCTCATGGTGCCCTCACTCTCGTTCCTACCTTGTTCATCTCGTTATATCTCTATCCTTAACTCTTACTTGAGGCGACATTGGTTCAAAGAGAGGACTGAACAAAAGTCAAGCTTGTTATTCTACACATAGACATTTATTGAATCAAATTATTTCAAATTATTTCGATTTCCAGCAATTGATATTCAACATTTTGACATCCTATTATTTAACAAAATATTGACCAAATTAAAAAGGGGGGAGGGGGGGTCACCCACTCCATACACGCCCACACCATACATGGCTAAATGGTTCACACTCTACCAGCTTGTCACCACTAAGACACACTTCTGGTTTAAGACAATGCATAACTGAACTCTTACCTCACTAACAAGTTAACCCAGGGGTGGGTGATGGCTAATCACCAGCCCGGATGGAGGAGCTGGTTGGATGTACTCACCCTTGCAAAGGTTCCACTCTCACTGCTCAACCACCTCGCTGGCCGAGCCAAGGGTGGGTACTCTCGCAAGCCAGAACATGGCTTCTTTGTTGAAAGTACTGCCGTCAGCAAAGCTGTGCCGGCTCACCTCACCAACTACCACCTCGCTCTCGACTAACACGCACACACGTATACACTCACACACATACACTTCCTTCTAAAGGAAGGAGCAAGAGAACTGAGCCTACCACTCTCCATAGTGTATAACAAATCACTGGCAACAGGGGAACTGCCAGATATTTGGAAAGCAGCTAACGTAGTCCCGATATACAAGAAAGGGGATAGACAGGAGGCACTGAACTACAGGCCAGTGTCCCTAACCTGCATACCATGCAAGCTGATGGAGAAGATTGTGCGAAAAAAACTAGTGGAGCATCTGGAGCGAAGGAACTTTGTAACACAGCATCAACATGGGTTCAGGGATGGCAGGTCCTGCCTCACAGGGTTACTTGAATTCTACGACCAGGCAACAAAAATAAGGCAAGAAAGAGAAGGGTGGGCAGACTGCATATTTTTGGATTGTCAGAAAGCCTTTGATACAGTGCCACACAAGAGGCTAGTGCGAAAGTTGGAGATGCAGGCTGGAGTGAGAGGGAAGGTACTCCGGTGGATAGAGGAATACCTAAGCAACAGGAGACAACGAGTCTGTGTGAGGGGTGAGGTCTCAGATTGGCGAGACGTCACAAGTGGAGTCCCGCAGGGGTCATCAGTCCTTGGACCTATACTGTTTCTGGTATATGTAAATGATCTCCCAGAGGGTATAGATTCGTTCCTCTCAATGTTTGCCGACGATACAAAAATTATGAGGAGGATTGAAACAGAGGATGATAGTAGGAGGCTACAAGATGACCTGGATAGACTGAGTGAATGGTCCAACAAATGGCTGTTGAAGTTCAACCCGAGTAAATGCAAAGTAATGAAACTAGGCAGTGGAAACAGGAGGCCAGGCACAGGATACAGAATAGGAGATGAAGTACTTAATGAAACAGACAGAGAGAAAGATCTAGGAGTTGATATCACACCAAACCTGTCTCCTGAAGCCCACATAAAGAGAATAACGTCTGCGGCATATGCGAGGCTGGCTAACATCTGAACGGCGTTCAGGAACCTGTGTAAGGAATCATTCAGAATCTTGTACACCACATATGTAAGACCAATCCTGGAGTATGCGGCCCCAGCATGGAGCCCGTACCTTGTCAAGCACAAGACGAAGCTGGAAAAAGTCCAAAGGTATGCTACTAGACTAGTCCCAGAACTAAGAGGCATGAGTTATGAGGAAAGGCTGCGGGAAATGCACTTCACGACACTGGAAGACAGAAGAGTAAGGGGGGACATGATCACAACCTACAAAATCCTCAGGGGAATCGACCGGGTAAACAAGGATGAACTATTCAACACTGGTGGGACGCGAACAAGGGGACACAGGTGGAAGCTGAGTACCCAAATGAGCCACAGAGACGTTAGAAAGAACTTTTTCAGTGTCAGAGTAGTTAGTAAATGGAATGCATTAGGAAGTGATGTGGTGGAGGCTGACTCCATACACAGTTTCAAATGTAGATATGATAGAGCCCAATAGGCTCAGGAATCTGTACACCAGTTGATTGACGGTTGAGAGGCGGGACCAAAGAGCCAGAGCTCAACCCCCGCAAGCACAATTAGGTGAGTACAATTAGGTGAGTACACAATTACAACTCACAATTATACGTGAAAGAGTGCAAAATACTTGCACAGTTACATCCAGCAGGCCAAAGACCACTTGGGCTCCACCAGAAAAGAGACATTTCATTACATTTAGCACTTTTTTCTAGATTTTTATCCCTTTTTTGTAAAAAGAAACTCGTAAAAAATAAAATAGAAAATTTTAAGAATAGTGAATAAGGGTAAACCGAACCTAGAGATTAGCACACTCCAAGAGATACACTTAATTGCTTAATTCATCCAATACAATCATAATAACTTTGTAATAGTTCTTCATAAACTACCTAAACAGTATGCTAGTATAAATAGAACGAGATGGTTTAAATACTTTCCTATAATCGTTTTCAGAGACTCACTGATAAAACCCATCACAGTGGAGGCCGAGGGGTTCCTGAGAGAGAAGACCTGGAGCAAGTACATCTGCTCTAAAGGTAAGGATATACCTTCATTGTTGTGCAGCCTTGTACCACCCTCAGTGATCAGTGTGACTGTCACCCTCAGTGATCAGTGTGACTGTCACCCTCAGTGATCAGTGTGACTGTCACCCTCAGTGATCAGTGTGACTGTCACCCTCAGTGATCAGTGTGACTGTCACCCTCAGTGATCAGTGTGACTGTCACCTTCAGTGATCAGTGTGACTGTCACCCTCAGCGATCAGTGTGACTGTCACCCTCAGTGATCAGTGTGACTGTCACCCTCAGTGGTCAGTGTGACTGTCACCCTCAGTGATCAGTGTGACTGTCACCCTCAGTGATCAGTGTGACTGTCACCCTCAGTGATCAGTGTGACTGTCACCCTCAGTGGTCAGTGTGACTGTCACCCTCAGTGGTCAGTGTGACTGTCACCCTCAGTGATCAGTGTGACTGTCACCCTCAGTGATCAGTGTGACTGTCACCCTCAGTGATCAGTGTGACTGTCACCCTCAGTGATCAGTGTGACTGTCACCCTCAGTGATCAGTGTGACTGTCACCCTCAGTGATCAGTGTGACTGTCACCCTCAGTGATCAGTGTGACTGTCACCCTCAGTGATCAGTGTGACTGTCACCCTCAGTGATCAGTGTGACTGTCACCCTCAGTGATCAGTGTGACTGTCACCCTCAGTGATCAGTGTGACTGTCACCCTCAGTGGTCAGTGTGACTGTCACCCTCAGTGATCAGTGTGACTGTCACCCTCAGTGATCAGTGTGACTGTCACCCTCAGTGGTCAGTGTGACTGTCACCCTCAGTGATCAGTGTGACTGTCACCCTCAGTGGTCAGTGTGACTGTCACCCTCAGTGATCAGTGTGACTGTCACCCTCAGTGATCAGTGTGACTCACCCTCAGTGGTCAGTGTGACTGTCACCCTCAGTGATCAGTGTGACTGTCACCCTCAGTGGTCAGTATGACTGTCACCCTCAGTGATCAGTGTGACTGTCACCCTCAGTGGTCAGTGTGACTGTCACCCTCAGTGATCAGTGTGACTGTCACCCTCAGTGGTCAGTGTGACTGTCACCCTCAGTGATCAGTGTGACTGTCACCCTCAGTGGTCAGTGTGACTGTCACCCTCAGTGATCAGTGTGACTGTCACCCTCAGTGATCAGTGTGACTGTCACCCTCAGTGGTCAGTGTGACTGTCACCCTCAGTGGTCAGTGTGACTGTCACCCTCAGTGATCAGTGTGACTGTCACTCTCCGTGATCAGTGTGACTGTCACCCTCAGTGGTCAGTGTGACTGTCACCCTCAGTGATCAGTGTGACTGTCACCCTCAGTGGTCAGTGTGACTGTCACCCTCAGTGATCAGTGTGACTGTCACCCTCAGTGATCAGTGTGACTGTCACCCTCAGTGATCAGTGTGACTGTCACCCTCAGTGATCAGTGTGACAGTCACCCTCAGTGATCAGTGTGACTGTCACCCTCAGTGATCAGTGTGACTGTCACCCTCAGTGATCAGTGTGACTGTCACCCTCAGTGATCAGTGTGACTGTCACCCTCAGTGATCAGTGTGACTGTCACCCTCAGTGGTCAGTGTGACTGTCACCCTCAGTGATCAGTGTGACTGTCACCCTCAGTGATCAGTGTGACTGTCACCCTCAGTGATCAGTGTGACTGTCACCCTCAGTGATCAGTGTGACTGTCACCCTCAGTGATCAGTGTGACTGTCACCCTCAGTGATCAGTTTGACTGTCACCCTCGGTGATCAGTGTGACTGTCACCCTCAGTGGTCAGTGTGACTGTCACCCTCAGTGGTCAGTGTGACTGTCACCCTCAGTGATCAGTGTGACTGTCATCCTCAGTGATCAGTGTGACTGTCACCCTCAGTGGTCAGTGTGACTGTCACCCTCAGTGGTCAGTGTGACTGTCACTCTCAGTGATCAGTGTGACTGTCACCCTCAGTGGTCAGTGTGACTGTCACCCTCAGTGTGACTGTCACCCTCAGTGATCAGTGTGACTGTCACCCTCAGTGGTCAGTGTGACTGTCACCCTCAGTGATCAGTGTGACTGTCACCCTCAGTGATCAGTGTGACTGTCACCCTCAGTGATCAGTGTGACTGTCACCCTCAGTGATCAGTGTGACTGTCACCCTCAGTGATCAGTGTGACTGTCACCCTCAGTGATCAGTGTGACTGTCACCCTCAGTGATCAGTGTGACTGTCACCCTCAGTGATCAGTGTGACTGTCACCCTCAGTGATCAGTGTGACTGTCACCCTCAGTGGTCAGTGTGACTGTCACCCTCAGTGGTCAGTGTGACTGTCACCCTCAGTGATCAGTGTGACTGTCACCCTCAGTGGTCAGTGTGACTGTCACCCTCAGTGATCAGTGTGACTGTCACCCTCAGTGATCAGTGTGACTGTCACCCTCAGTGATCAGTGTGACTGTCACCCTCAGTGATCAGTGTGACTGTCACCCTCAGTGATCAGTGTGACTGTCACCCTCAGTGATCAGTGTGACTGTCACCCTCAGTGATCAGTGTGACTGTCACCCTCAGTGGTCAGTGTGACTGTCACCCTCAGTGATCAGTGTGACTGTCACCCTCAGTGATCAGTGTGACTGTCACCCTCAGTGGTCAGTGTGACTGTCACCCTCAGTGATCAGTGTGACTGTCATCCTCAGTGATCAGTGTGACTGTCACCCTCAGTGGTCAGTGTGACTGTCACCCTCAGTGATCAGTGTGACTGTCACTCTCAGTGATCAGTGTGACTGTCACCCTCAATGATCAGTGTGACTGTCACTCTCAGTGATCAGTGTGACTGTCACCCTCAGTGATCAGTGTGACTGTCACTCTCAGTGATCAGTGTGACTGTCACCCTCAGTGATCAGTGTGACTGTCACCCTCAGTGATCAGTGTGACTGTCACCCTCAGTGATCAGTGTGACTGTCACCCTCAGTGATCAGTGTGACTGTCACCCTCAGTGATCAGTGTGACTGTCACCCTCAGTGATCAGTGTGACTGTCACCCTCGACGGCTCTGTAGAAGAAGGTGGACGATGTACCGGATGTGCATGTAACATATTTGAACAATCTTCTCTCGTACATACAGCAATGAAGCGCGTCAATGACTGGGCAAGTACAACTCAAACCGAACTTGCAGGCATATACCTTGCCACTGAATTGTTAAAAGACAAAGGCAGTGGACTTATATACTGTGACTCGCAGAGTGCACTCCTGGCATTGAACGCACATAGTAGTGACACCCAGAAAATAGTCAGTGATATTCGAATGAATGTTTTAGCTGCCAAAGAAAACAGATTTGAGATTAAATTCCTATGGATACCATCACATGTTGGCATCTCAAGGCATGACACTGTTGATATGCTTGCTAAGACAGCCTGCAGAAAACCAGTGGTAGAAATTGATATGGGTGTTTCATTAGCAGTGACAAAGATAATACTTAAACAAATATCTAATGAAAATCTCACCGACCTAACAAATTCTCAAAGACCTGAAAGTTGTAGCATTAAATATTATGATAGATATCGTGAGGAGACATTCACATATGGGACTAATAGAACAAGAACCCGGCAATGTGATGTTATAGTGGCCAGAATACGCCTGGGATATAGACGTATCTGGCAGCTTTCTCAAAACCCAAATGTCGAGTACACAATGTGTCAACTTTGTGAAAGAGAAAACATGCACTCTCTTGAACATTATATTGTAGAATGTCCCATACTGACTGACTTTGGCCCTCCTGGGCTAAGGTATGCTGAACTCTGTAATTACTATATGAGTACTGGAACACTCGATGATATATTGGACTTGTATCCAAGATTGACCATGTAATATATCAATCATACAATGTATATATATGATGTAACTATATAACCTGAGCTTGTAAAAGCACCTTCATCACCTTCAGTGATTAAGTGCTTAATTGCACACGAGTTTCTTTATCAGCTACCTCACCCGGTCAGAGTAAATGAGACAAATGTATGTGAATGCATGTGTGTGTGTGTATATATGTATGTATATGTGTGTGTGTATGTATATGTATGGGTATAAAGTATATATTGGAAGCTGATCAGAATTACATTTCACCTTTGTGCATGTACATTAATGACACTATGTAAAAGACACATCAAACACTTTATGTAGGGCATACGTAAATCTGTGTATCTATGTATTTACGTATGTAGGTTAGCTTAGCATTTTAAAAGCACCGAATCACCTTCTGTGGTTGAGTGTTCAATAAACCCTTGAACTATATGTTTAACACTTCTCTAACCCTGTCCATGGAGGATAGAAGAAAATGTATATATGCTGTTAATGCATTGTAAATGTGTGGCCACGTCTGTGGTAGAAAAAAACCCTCAGTGATCAGTGTGACTGTCACCCTCAGTGATCAGTGTGACTGTCACCCTCAGTGATCAGTGTGACTGTCACCCTCAGTGATCAGTGTGACTGTCACCCTCAGTGATCAGTGTGACTGTCACCCTCAGTGATCAGTGTGACTGTCACCCTCAGTGATCAGTGTGACTGTCACCCTCAGTGATCAGTGTGACTGTCACCCTCAGTGATCAGTGTGACTGTCACCCTCAGTGATCAGTGTGACTGTCACCCTCAGTGATCAGTGTGACTGTCAACACTCGGCTCGTTACTTAAGCTCTAGGCCCAACTCTACATTGGTGCTTCACGCTGCTAACGACGAGATCATTTTGCGTGATCATATGCCATCAGTCCCATCTCTCTCTTACACTAGACTCGTTGAGATGTTTGGTGATATTGACCTTGTCATTATACTGATAACGATAATTAATAATAATAAACTAATCACCTGGAGCTGTTTAGTGACTGGTGACCAAGGCGCTGCCAGCCGCTTACTCCACCGCGGTACAGTGGTAAGGTCAGGCGTCGGCAGCTCACAGGCAAGGAAAAGGTGGTAGAAGAAGAATGCTTGAACAATGGGTAGAAGAAGGATGCTTGAATAGGGTACTGGAGAGAGGGGGAGATTGGAAAAGGTGTACAGGAGAGAAGGGGGGATCAACGTGGAGAAAGTTTGACATGGGAGGAGATGGGAAGAAAAGACGGGATAGGGAAAGCTAGATGAGAAGGGGAAGATTCGGAGAGAGGGGCGAGGGAGACCCGAGCACAGCCGGGTATCCTCCTTTAGTATATCTGTAAAAGAGAATGTCTGCTTGTTAGTCTATCTTCGGTTGGAGGCGATGGTTGTAATTAGCCTTATTCAACTTTCCATGGTGAATTGTTATTGTATGGTAAGAGTCAAAGGTGGATGCATTCGGCTCCTCATGACCCTCCTTAAGTTGGATTGGCTTCTATTGCTACAAACACCGACTCTAAGGACAATCAACCCAATATTTTTAATTTCATAGTTTGCTCACCAGCAGATTTCTCGGCTTTTACTGGATGGAGGGAGGTAGAATGGGAATGAGAGAGAATTAGGGAGTTGAAGTGAGGAGGAGAGTGGGGGGGGGGAGAGAGACCCGGACACCGCTGGGTACCCCATCTAGAGTTATATATGCAGTCCCCACACTGACTACCAAAACTTTGTTCCAGTGCTAGCCATTATTTTTGTTTTAGAAATGACCTACACAAGACTTGTTTTAGGAAATACTCATTGTATATTGTCTAAACATTTGGTGAAGTATATTTGTTGTTGTTGCAGACTTTGAGACTGGCGAGGACTCGCTGGAGGCGTGGGAGCTGGAGATCCCACAGGTCATGGTGGAGGGGTCAGAGCGAGGCTGGGTCACGGCCGTCGGTGACCTCATCGCTCTCACACTCGAGGTACTCACTCACTCACTCACTCATGTTCTCTGTGATAGTTATGTGTAAACCTTAAATCATAGGGAGAGATCAGTGTAACAAGGTGAGCAATATCCCCCCATATGTTGGTTACATACTAACATGCATCAGAGTAAACATTAGTGCAGCTCAATACCATTGTCAGGTAAGATATTCTGGGCTCTCATATCACCTGTTTGGGCTTCATGATCTCTTTATATACACTAATTGATTAAAATAAAAAAATTATATGCCTTATCGACTTTCATGTTGGATACTATAGAACAATTAATGCTCCAATCACTATTTTTATAAAATTTTGTGGTGTCCTTTCTTTGAAGTTAAATAAATTAATGAAACAAATATTTTTCAAATATTTTGAACAATAATTAAATCTCTGTTTAAATATCATCTTATATAGTTCATATAGTAGTCAGTTTAAATAGAATTTTCCCTCTGATTTGACATTACAAAAAATTATTATACTGTAATTTCTTGTGAAGTGCAAGAAACTTGCTGATGACACTAATAATAAAGTGTTGCATGAACTTTACACACAACGGTGGATGCTTGGTGCATGTGCAACGGCTTCTTAACACATTATAACCCAGAATATTTCCATAATTCCTTGAAGAATTTGGGGAGCCTGATCCGGATGCCGTACGGGTGTGGGGAGCAGAACATGATCAACTTGGTGCCCAACATCTTCATCATGCAGTACCTGAAGGCCTCCAACCAGACCACCCCGGAGACCACCAGGAGGCTCCTCACCTACATGAAGACCGGTAACCTCATTATTATCTCTATCTATGTAAGGACAGTTAGCCAATATTTCTGGCTATGGTCGGTCTGAGGTCTGACAACGTGGGTGATGACTGGTCAGTACCTGCTGTCCCTCAAGCTAAGTAATGTTGTTGTTGTTTTAGATTCAGCTACTCGGAACAAAAGTTCCAAGCAGCACGGACTATGGTGAGCCCATATTAGTCATCAAAACTACGGCCCACAATGGTTCCTGGACGTGCCCATGTTTATAACCTGAGTTAATGCTAAACGCGTTAGTTTACTGTGAACAAGTGTGGGCCGGAGTTTACATGTGCTTCAGAACAACTCTGGCTGCCTCGTCAGCAAACTCTAACAATGTGGTATACGTCTCTTATTGATATCGTCGTCAGGCAGAGAGCCCGTACTTGGGCTTATTCCAGGTCCCCCGTAGTCAACTATAGCTAACCCTGGTGGCTCTACTACACTTTAGAAACTCTCGAGTACCTATTTACTGCTAGGTGAGTACCTATTTACTGCTAGGTGAGTATCTATTTACTGCTAGGTGAGTATCTATTTACTGCTAGGTGAGTATCTATTTACTGCTAGGTGAGTATCTATTTACTGCTAGGTGAGTATCTATTTACTGCTAGGTGAGTACCTAATTACTGCTAGGTGAGTATCTATTTACTGCTAGGTGAGTATCTATTTAATGCTAGGTGAGTGGATTTAGGTGGATTTACACCTATTTACTGCTACTTGATTACCTATTTACCGCTAGGTAAACATCGTGCGCAGGGAAAAAATGTCCAACCGTTTCTGTCCGACCTAGAGAATAAATCCCGAGGTTATTAACCAAATACGTAGACCACTGTGCTAACAATAAGCATTTGAAACTACACGAACCAAACTAAGGAAGGGAATTATCAGGAGATAGCGCCAAGTCATCACGACTATATAGCACTTGGAAGGGGTCAGGATAAGGATTTGGAATGGGACGGGGGAAAGGAATGGTGCCCAACCAATTGGACGGTCGGGGATTGAACGCCGACCTGCATGAAGCGAGACCGTCACTCTACCGTCCAGCCCAAGTGGTTGGGTACCAAACTAAGGAGGTATATGCTAATTATCACAATGATTATAATTGATAAAATACCTTTAAAACGCCGAAATTTGTACTCTACTGTCGATGGCATCCAGAGTGTGGAACACCGCGGGGACCAGATGCCGGGTTACCACTTGATTGGTATCTGGCTGGCTCACCATTACAGCTGGCTCATTGTTACAGCTGGCTCAGTTAGAGCTGGCTCAACGTTACAGCTGGCTCGACGTTACAGATGGCTCAGTTAGAGCTGGCTCAACGTTACAGTTGGCTCACCGTTGCAGCTGGCTCAGTTACAGCTGGCTCACCGTTGCAGCTAGCACAAAGGTACAGCTTGCTCACCGTTACAGCTGGTAGGCAGTGGCAGCTGTAACGGTGGCAGCTGGCTCATCGTTACTGGAAATTATAACAGAGTGTGGAAGTAGGCTACAGGGCAGACACAGCTTCAGAAGAGGAATTTCAAGATTTACATATCGTGAAAAATATGGTGAAGTCCAAGCTCTTATAATGGTAGATTTTAATCACTACACAATGGATTTTGGGTGAATCCAAAATCACAAGCCGAAGAGGAACAATTTCTCGGCCTGGTACAAGACTCTTATTTTTTATTCAGAACGTGGTAGAGCCCACACGAGGCAGTAACATTCTGGACCTTGTGCTAACACCAGAGGAGGTCGTGGTCGATCAAACTCAGCAAGAGGAGAAGCTCGCCCCGTAATATTCTAAGATAGAACACAATTATAGAAACCCATATAAAGGTCTGGAACGATGACGTTCTAGACTGCTTTCGAGGAGTTCCTGTAATACAGAAACTGCAAAATATCTCTTGGTAGTCAGAGACGTGGAAGCTTCGTGGGAACATTTTACAAATTTAACACTGAGCTTGGATCTGAGTGAGTACCAAAAAGGAAAAGTAAAAGGAGGAGGTGGATGACGGGTTGTCACCAGTGCTATAACAGCAAGGCAAAACCTCTGAAAGAATTAAGAGTCCACCAGGAGGCACACGGGTTCACACATATAGAAGGGCTTTTATTTCTCTGCTCAGGGCACAAGAACAGGTAAAAGGAACTATGAAAGAAAACTTGCTCAAAATATAATGAAAGATCCAAAGTATATTTATGCCCACCAGAGAAGTAGAATAAAGACAAAAGACTCGATAGGACCCTTCGAAGATAAGTCCAACCAAATTTCAATTAATGATAAAAAGGCAGCCAACGTATATGAATACTTTACATCAGTGTTCACACTAGAAAGATTAGACAATTTAAAAAATACAAACAGATGTTTTAAGCAGAGGAAGAAAATGAATTAAGCAATATTCCCATAACGTGCAAAACAATCAGGAAGACCGTCGAAATACCCGTCGAAGTCCTGGGTAAATACTGGTATGGAAACATGTTTGTTGATTTGTGTTACAAATTTCGGGATACCGTAACAGACGTGTAGATCACTTAATTGTTTCTAGTGCAGGTGAGACATGTATATGGCTATTGGCTTTCTGTTGTTTCTTTAATTTTTATGCTTTTGTTATAAGAGCGTGTTGTAGCGACTAGTTAATGTATTAGTTGGCGATAATTACATTAGTGGCTGCCTGCAGGGTACCAACGGGAGCTCCTCTACCGTAGAGGTGACGGCTCCTTCAGCGCCTTCGGCAACGCTGACGACTCCGGCTCCACCTGGTTGTCGGCCTTCGTCCTCAAGTCCTTCAGCCAGGCCCAACAGTTTATTGTGGTGAGTGGACCTCCTCTTGCTGTGTTTTACATTACTCTACACTCAAGCATTCATTCTAAGCCAATTGTTTCACGCCAAGCTAACTTGAACTTCCTTGTGTAAATGGCGGTCACGGACAGACGGAGCCCAACAGACGGAGCCCAACAGACAGACGGAGAGACGGAGCCCAACAGACGCCAACAACAGAGAGCCCAACAGACGGAGCCCAACAGACGGATCCCAACAGACGGATCCCAACAGACGGATCCCAACAGACGGATCCCAACAGACGGAGCCCAACAGACGGATCCCAACAGACGGATCCCAACAGACGGAGCCCAACAGACGGATCCCAACAGACGGAGCCCAACAGACGGAGCCCAACAGACGGAGTCCCAACTGACGGAGCCCAACAGACGGAGCCCAACAGACGGAGCCCAACAGACGGAGCCCAACAGACGGAGCCCAACAGACGGAGCCCAACAGACGGAGCCCAACAGACGGAGCCCAACTGACGGAGCCCAACAGACGGAGCCCAACAGACGGAGCCCAACAGACGGAGCCCAACAGACGGAGCCCAACAGACGGAGCCCAACAGACGGAGCCCAACAGACGGAGCCCAACAGACGGATCCCAACAGACGGAGCCCAACTGACGGAGCCCAACAGACGGAGCCCAACAGACGGATCCCAACCCAACAGACGGGAGCCCAACAGAGGGAGCCCAACAGACGGAGCCCAACAGACGGAGCCCAACAGACGGAGCCCAACAGACGGAGCCCAACAGACGGAGTCCAACAGACGGAGCCCCAACAGACGGATCCCAACAGACGGAGCCAACAACTCCCAACAGACGGAGCCCAACTGACGGAGCCCAACAGACGGAGCCCAACAGACGGAGTCCAACCCAACAGACGGAGCCCCAACGGAGACGGAGCCCAACAGACGGAGCCCAGCCCAACAGACGGAATCCAACAGACGGAGACGGAGTCCAACAGACGGAGCCCAACAGACGGAGCCCAACAGACGGAGCCCAACAGACGGAGCCCAACAGACGGAGCCCAACAGACGGAGCCCAACAGACGGAGCCCCAGGAGTTTGACTGTTTTGGGTGCAGTGGTGAAGTTTTGTACGTTCGACCACTGCTTCTATAAGTACTACACAATTGTTAATATCGGATTGTATTTCCACACCCTAAGCAACCTAAAGCGATGAGACCAATTCATCACTATTGACTGAGCAGTCAGTACAATAATCTAGCAATATCCTCATCACAAATGCGGCCACTGGGACAGGTAGACTGATCGTATTGCTCATGACGGCTGAGAAGGTTCTGAGGCAAGACTGATCTTTTGAAATGCTGGCAGTAGGTCACTAGAGACCTGTGTTGGTAACAATAATAAACATTTTATCTACTGAATGGATTTCCGGATTGCCAGATGTTTAGGTCGATACCCAGCTCACACACCTGATACCCAGCCCACACACCTGATACCGAGTCCACACACCTGATACCCAGCTCACACACCTGATACCCAGCCCACACACCTGATACCCAGCCCACACACCTGATACCCAGCCCACACACCTGATACCCAGCCCACACACCTGATACCCAGCCCACACACCTGATACCCAGCCCACACACCTGATACCCAGTCCACACACGTGATACCCAGCCAACAAAGACGGAAAGCCTTTGACACAGTATCTCATAAAAGGTTGATGCATAAGCTGGAGAAACAGGCAGGAATAACTGGTAGGGCGCTCCAGTGGATAAGGAAGTACCTAAGCAATAGGAAGCAGAGAGTTACAGTGAGGGGTGAGACCTCAGATTGGCGTGAAGTCACCAGTGGAGTCCCACAGGGCTCTGTTCTTGGACCTATCCTGTTTCTGATATACGTAAATGATCTCCAAGAGGGTATAGACTCATTCCTCTCAATGTTTGCTGACGACGCCAAAATTATGAGAAGTATTAGGAGAGAGGAGGACAGCTTGAGGCTTCAAGAAGACCTGGACAAGCTGCAGGAATGGTCGAACAAATGGTTATTAGAATTTAACCCAAGCAAATGTAATGTAATGAAGATAGGGGTAGGAAGAAGGAGACCAGATACAAGGTATCACTTAGGAGACGAAATACTTCAGGAGTCAGAGAGAGAGAGAGAAAGACCTGGGGGTTGATATCACGCCAGACCTGTCCCCTGAAGCTCATATCAAGAGGATAACATCAGCGACATATGCCAGGTTGGCTAACATAAGAACGGCATTTAGAAACTTGTGTAAGAAATCTTTCAGAACATTATATACCACATATGTCAGATCAATCCTGGAGTATGCGGCTCCAGCATGGATTCCATATCTAGTCAAGCATATGACTAAACTGGAAAAGGTTCAAAGGTTTGCCACCAGACTAGTACCCGAGCTGAGAGGTATGAGCTACGAGGAGAGACTACGGGAAATAAACCTCACTTCGTTGGAAGACAGAAGAGTTAGGGGGGACATGATCACCACATTCAAGATTCTCAAGGGAATCGACAGGGTAGATAAAGACAGGCTATTTAACACTAGAGGCACACGCACTAGGGGACACAGGTGAAAACTGAGTGCCCAAATGAGGCACAGAGATATTGGAAAGAACTTTTTTAGTGTCAGAGTGGTTGACAAATGGAATGCATTAGGAAGTGATGTGGTGGACGCTGACTCCATACACAGTTTCAAGTGTAGATATGATATAGAGCCCATTAGGCTCAGGAACATGTACACCTGTTGATTGACGGTTGAGAGGCGGGACCAAATAGCCAGAACTCAACCCCCGCAAGCACAACTAGGTGAGTACAATTAGGTGAGAACACACCTGATACCCAGCCCACACACCTGATACCCAGCCCACACACCTGATACCCAGCTCACACACCTGATACCCAGCCCACACACCTGATACCCAGCTCACACACCTGATAACCAGTCCACACGCGTGATACCAAGCTCACACACCTGATAACCAGTCCACACGCCTGATACCCAGCCCACACACCTGATACCCAGTGCACACACCTGATAACCAGTCCACACGCCTGATACCCAGCCCACACACCTGACATCCAGCCCACACATGCTGGAGTAAGTAGGCCAGCGACGGTAGGGGACACACACGATTAGTGAGATCCGCGGAAATTCGTCAATTTCTCAGGACATTGAAGGAGTATAAAGGCTAGATCATAGTATTTGGCCTCTCGCAGTGTGTAGCTAGCAGGGTGCTACATAGCATAGTTATATCGCTAGCGATAGTGCGAAGAAACCAAAGTGGAGCTAGTGGCAATCACCGGTGCATATACAGTGTGTTGGACCGCGTAGAGCGACCTGACCTGACGGCCAGGTGGGACGACCCGCCGTGGAACTACCTGATTGTGTTTGTTGGGTTGTGACTGTGATCAGTGGTAAAGTAAATTTGTGAACTGGAACACAACGATACAGTGACTGACTCCAAAGATTTGTATTGATAGAGAAGAACCGCAATCATCAATCTACTAGCACTTAGTGAATCACCAAGTGGAAGGCGACGACGGAGACCATCGTCAACCATACGTCATTACTCATCTAGTTGTGTGAGAGGGAAGCAGACTGGTATGTACCCCCCTTTCAGGTCAATTAATCAGGTGTACAGTGTGAGGTAAAATATTATCAAATTCTTGTTCAGGATAGCATATATATTTAAAATCTCAAAGTGGCTCATTGGGTAGAAGTTAGCACTTCCGGGAACTCGTGACACACGCATGCACGCATGCACGCACGCACACGCACGCACGCACACACACGCACACACACGCACGCACTCAAGCCCACGTACGTATGCACCCACACACACACGCACACACGGGCTAGAAGAGATTAACACCTTTCGTGGAAAACCTCTCATAATCCACCCCTTCTCTTACCTGCCGTAAGCTGAAACACCTTACCTCCTCTTAACCCCATCCCACGCGCACACACGTTCTCTCTCTCTCTCTCTCTCTCTCTCTCTCTCTCTCTCTCTCTCTCTCTCTCTCTCTCTCTCTCTCTCGCTCTCTCTCGCTCTCTCTCTCTCTCTCTCTCTCTCTCTCTCTCTCTCTCTCTCTCTCTCTCTCTCTCTCTCTCTCTCTCTCTCTCTCTCTCTCTCTCTCTCTCTCTCTCTCTCTCTCTCTTCTCTCTCTCTCTCTCTCTCTCCTCTCTCTCTCTCTCTCTTGCTCTCTCTCTCTTCCTCTCTTGCTCTCTCTCTCTCTTCCTCTCTTGCTCTCTCTCTCTTCCTCTCTTGCTCTCTCTCTCTTCCTCTCTTGCTCTCTCTCTCTTCCTCTCTTGCTCTCTCTCTCTTCCTCTCTTGCTCTCTCTC